CCCCACGTTTCTGCTCCCACCAAGGAAGAGGGGCACCTCTCCATTACTAGGGTCCTCAAAACCCGCAACCCTCCTCCTTCACACTCAGACTCACCGTCATGGAGAGCATGTTCCGGCAGAGCACGGTCAGCAGAGCGGCAGGTTCTCCCCAGCGACCAGGGGGAAGGAACTGAGCGCCACAGGCGGAGAGAGAATCTGAAAAAGCCGCCCTCCTCGGCCTGTGCTGATGACGTCATTGGAGCAGAGACTACATTTCCCACAAGGCGCTGCGATCCCGGAATAGGCAATAATGGGAAGGTTCCTGTGTTTTCACAGAGGAGAGTTCTTTTACCAGGAGACCAGAACCTGAAAGGAGATAAACAGTCTCTATCCAAATGAGCGAGAGACAGGATCCTGGTTCTTTGTTAAATCCTGGTTTGACATTTCAGGGATAATGAGGAAATTCATACGCGGGTCACTTAGTCAATGACATTAATAAGCAATTTAACACTTTTGTTGTTGTGATATAGTTATTCCTGTTATACCACCAATGACTCTTTTTTAGTAATGCAATCAAAAGAATGAAAAATAATATGTTTTAGGTTAGTAAGAAACAAATAATTACTATGGTAATTCTCTTGCAGTCATTAAAATATGTTTATTCTCACACACTAAGCTGATTGTTTAATGGTTATTACAGTTGGAAAATTGTTCTAGTGTATTTTTAAGGTAAGACAGCAGAATAATAGGATAGGTGTATTTCATATTCCAAGTCTATTTACACTTCAAGTGTCCAATAATTACTTGACCAAAAGCTCCCATGTTTTATCTAACAAATCTTAATTTATTTGGAGTGTGTCTGTGTGTGGGAGATGTACCTCAATTATCTACTCTTCCTTGATTTTGTCCACAAACCGGGCTAGGAGGAATTCCATATGCATTTTGCTATCATTGAGTTTCTTTTCAAACAGAGGACTGACCATCGTTTTTAAAATGATTTTAACTATATTTTTTATTATTATTATTATTATTATTATTATTATTTTGACCAGAGAAAGAGAAAGCGAGAGAGAGGGAAAGTGAAAAAGCAAGCCACCAAGTCTGGGGCTCCAGCTACACTCAGCCATGTGGGAGTACAGTGCCTTTAACCACCAGGCCACCTGCTGGCCCCAAAATGACCATCGTGATTCATCAGGGTTAATGTTAGACTAGAGTAGTGAAATTAGGGAATAGTATAAAAAGTGAGTAAAGATTGGGAGTGGTGAATGGAGGGGGGTGCAAGAGACACAATTTTGTTCAAGACATATCCCTGATTTTTGTTTTTCCTGTTATATGCCCTGCCATATTCAAATTTCTGTATCATCTCTGATGCTGTGTCTTTCAGTGACTCTGTTCTATAGACACAAAGAAGTTAGTCTTGATCACCACAGTACTCTCTCACCTTCTAGTTTTGAATTCCTGGCCTCCCTTCCTCCCATCTTTGGATACCAGGTCTCTCTTAAACACATATTGATATGTTCTTGGAGGAATAATTTAAATACAGGATGATTGGCAAGGGGTGGAAATGTCAGGGGGAGCCAATCCCTGACATTCCCACCTCTAAAACATAGGTGTTGTTTACTCTCTTTGTGGACTTTAGTTCTCTGTGTTTTAATGTGGAGACAATAAGGATCAACAGGTGATGTGGTGATTAAAGTGATGGGATGGATTTCTACAGGGGTGTAACATGTCTAGTGCTGGACCTGGAAGCTTGCTTTCTCACTTTTTCTTTCTCTCCATCTCTCTCTGATCAAATTTAAAAGTAGTAATAAAAAAAATTAAGTAAATAATGCCTACAAAAAAAAAAGAAGAAGAAGAAAATGGAGACCATAATATACATTTGCTTGTGTAGACCTCACCTTGGGCTCACCTCTTGTAATAGACCAAGAAACAATCTCTATCTTCTTCCTAGGATGGTAAATTTTTCAGAAACATGGAAAGGAGACTCGGTGTTATGAGTTATTTCCAACTTTGGTGATGTATTGCAGTTTTCAGTCTTCAAGTTTATCCTTTTGTTGTTATAATTATTCCTAAGTAAATAATTGAGCTAAGGAGCCAAGTCTGTGAAGTTAAGGCAGCCAGATCCCACATGGCAGACTGAATAGTTCAATGCCTGTGTCTGACTTGAGAAACATGTGAGGTGTGTACGAAGTCATAGCCAAAAATCTCAAAAGAAGGGAGAGGTGGAGGGTAAATGGTTACAACATGACTATGGCCCATTTGGGGTGCTTTCTCACTTTCCCTTTTCTTTTCCTCTTCAGTTATAGAATATGTATTTTGGCAATGTTAAAATAATTTAAAAATATAGTTTATTTTAGTATATTTATCTTACATTGTGTTACTTTTCTAAACTTGTTTATTCATACTAATAGTCTGTAGCCAATTCCTAGTGACTTCCTAAAAATTGTGTCATGTCATCCACAAATAAAGATAACTTGATGTATTCCTCCCTAATATAAATGCCTTTTATTTATTTCTGTAGTGACTTCTCACAGTAGTTGGCTTTTGAAGTTCCTACTGAGCACACACTTGTTTTAGAGGCCCTGCAAAGGAGGAAAGTGTGCCCTTCTGTGGTGGTAGGGGCCACAGGCTTCTTCTCACACTCGCTACTGTGTGCACACATGTCCTAACCATACCTCTTTGTCTAACTGTGTGTATATGCTACAGCCACTGTCTCAGTGTGCAGGGCTCTCATGGCACCTCAGAGATGCACATATACAAGCACTGTTGTTTCTCAGGATAGTCTATTTGGCAGTGGATCTGCTTTCAGTGTGGCACCACGCTGCAGCTGACTGGGGCCCAGATGGTGAAGTGACCCTATGCATGTTCCTTCTTCAGATTAGTGCAGTTTTGTGGGCATCAGAAATATCTTACGTTGGGATGATCAGGAACATCAGGGCTCTTCTGTAGCTAGGACTGTGGTTGCTGGTGACAATGTGAACACTAGGGACCTCTCACTTACTCTCTCCAGGCACTGGGGTATTTCTAGCATTTCAAACTAAGCCGGAGTGCAGACACTAGAATAAATACCAGCTTTCCAATGTACACATTGGAATACACACAGGCATGAAGAATAATCAGGAGAATGTGATGTTACCAACAGACAAAGTAAAGTGCAGGGACTGACACTAAAGGGAAGATGCACAATCTGCTTGACAGAGATTTCACAGTCATGGTTTTGAGGAACCACAACACACTTAAAATAAAATACACAGAAACATTGCAACACACTTTTGATGTATATGTGGCAAGGTTCTAGAAGAGTTTTTGGGGTGGGAAATATTGTGAGTGTCTTTTAAATATACAATCTTCTGTGGTTGCTGTTTTAGTATTAACATTTTGAGTTTTACTTGCAGTCATATCTTTATTCAATTATTTTCTCAGCAAGTAATTATTCAGCAACTCACTGCCTCAGGAATAGTTTCAGTACCTGGATACCTATTGGTGAATACAGTAATTTAAACATGGCTGTAGTCCAATAAAAAAGAGACAATCATCTTAACTATACAGAATACACTGAAGCTCTACCTATGTTAAAGTCTATAAAGAAAATTGTAGCTTTCTATAAAAGAGAAAAACAGTCGGTCACAACACCAACCACATTCTGGGGAGTCTGAAGGATTTACATGGGAAGAGTGAGAGTAAAGCAGATTATGAGAGAGAAACAGTATTTGAGGATGATGGAAAATCTTATCCAAAGACCACAGCAGAAAAATTTAGGTACAAATATAGAAGGGAAGTTAGGCCCATCAGCATGAAGTATAGTAAAAGAGGGAAAGGAATGTAAAAGGGCTTTGGAAAGGTAGACATGATCTTATTGAATATCTTGGGTTTTACCTCAGAGAAGTGAGGAAGCCTTCAAATGATTTTAGTAGAAAAAAAGTATAATCTAATTGACTTTTTGGATTAGCCTAACCATTGTGAGGACAATTTATGGGGACAGACAAAAATAGAATTAGGAAAACCAGGATGGAGGCTGTTGGAAATGTTCAGGGAATAGAAACTGTTGACTTGGACTATGGAGA